GCAAGGATTCGGAGATTAGGAGATTGGTATTTAAATGCCTCTCTATTTCTTCCTTTTGAAGAGCTCATAAATCTCTCTTTAGAGGGGAATAATTTAGTAGGATGGATTGAGAATGAAGGTATGCCGTCATCTCTTCTTAATTAGGCGGACAACTGATTCTGTTTTATTATTTTGATTCAATTTTATAATTCCTATTTCTTTGAGCGATAATATAGATATATTAAATTTTGTTGCAGGTATTGATAAATTATCAAAGTTGAGAAATTTGGAGGCCTTTGATCTGAGTAGCAATTTTTTCAATCGCAAAATTTTGTCATCTCTTAGTCGGCTTTCTTCTCTCAAGTATCTGGGATTTAGATACAACTCATTAAGGAGAAAAAATTACGGCAATAGTAAGTTAAATATACTATGTATTTTGGTGGTTCTTTGATAGATCATGTGATTGTCTAAAAATCAACTTTTTGGAAATAAATCAACTTATTACAATAATTAAAAGTTTTCTTGCTGCAGTATAAGATAAACAATTTCTCAAAATCTTTAGTTTCCTCTATTATAAGTATATATCAAAAAATCAATTGAACCGATCTTTTATATTTTCGTCGTGTTTTCATTTTTGATAAATCTAATTGCAATACTGTAGCATGAAAATTATGCCAATTTCTTCAAAAGATTTGCCATTTGTCCATCCTAATAAATTCAGCATTACTAAATATATATGTTTGTCGTAATGAGTTATTAAAAGCGCTAAACCCAAGTAATTCAAATGTAAAAGATTAAGGGCATGTTTGGTACTTAGACAATACAACAAATAAGACATTTTTAATCTTTAATATTGTAATACATTATTATTGCAATACAACCCAAGTAATAACTTGACGAAACATATTATTAGTTTTTAAAAAATATCATTGTGTAGGTCGTGAAAGACTCTTCGGATTAAACAAGCTAGAAGTTCTTGATTTCATGGGTAATAATGATATTAGCGACGGCGACATTCTATCGGTGCTAAGTGAGTCTTCTTTTCACAAGCGTGATATATTGCTTTTAGGTCAGGGAAGACTTAGTGTTATCATCTTTTAATATCATTTTTTAATTTTTTTTCATAGATCTAAATGATTTTATCAATTTGAAGAAGCTCGACCTAAGTGACAATCAATTTACAAGCTCGGGTACCATTTATGGTATGTCATCTCAGTTCATTCTTTATCCATGATGTTGACATTAATTCATTCTTTGTTAATTTCCTTTTCTTTCTTCACTTCTGCCTTAGTATGTATGAGCTGAAGCATTCGTG